CTGGACACTTTTCCCTCACTAAATATAAAGCTGGATATTTTTTTCGTGTAACTTATTTAGTCAACTATTGTATTACCAAATTTCAGCTCTTGCGGTATCAGATATCTATACTTTTCTCATTAAACACAGCGTGCCGTCCATGCAGTTATTGGATGATAGATACGTATAACTTTTCTGCTCTAAAGGAGGATAATAAAAAGTAGGTTTACTATTAATTACTTAAAAATGTATTATTTATTTACAAAAAGCATACTAAAATTCAAAATAAATATACATAGTGTGCTAATACGTGAATAGCTAATATTTTAAATTTCGCTTTCTTCGGATTCATCGCCATCGTACTCATCGCTGTCATTATCACTGACAGCGATGTCGACCCGTGAAAGATTTCGTCAGGATCTGTAAACATATATAATAATAATTTATTAAAAGATATAGATGATAATAGTATATAAACATTTAACACGCAAGAGCAAAATTTTAATTCAAATCTGATTATAAATTACAAAAAAAAGGTGACATGCTATCCAAAATTGTTACAAATATAACTCAGTTTTATTTTTAAATTAAAATTGTATGATAAAATTAAACAGAAAATAATCAAAAATTGAAACTGACAAATAATGAAATGAGAGAAAAATATATCAGTATTATTCTAACCTTCAGTACTTTTTTGGTCATCGCCATCATCGATAGTTATATCACCAAGGGTAGCGGGTAGATGGTCACCCTCGAACCATTTAAAATTAAATTTTCCCTCATCTTCTTCCCATCCAAAATCAGTCGGATGTAATGCCGTTGGAACCTGAAGATGAGCATGTGCCCAAATATTTGCTATGTATGTTGTCCGCAGCAAATGTTGGTGCAGCTCAATTTTGCAGGGAGGCAGAGCTGATCCGTCGATATTATTCTTCGGTAACCGGAATATGTCATCGTTTTGTAAAACCTTGTACGTCTTCAAAAATGTTGCAACTCGTGCTTCATTACACAGCACAATTACACGCTAGCTATATAGCTATCTAGCTATATAGCCAACGAATATAGACTGCGTATAGAAGAACACTCTGCATTGGCGCCAGGGTCACACTTTGAAATACATGTAGAGCCTATACTACACTATAGATGTGTACCAGGACTATACAGGAGAAACCTATAACGCACTATACCTGTGTACCAAGATTTCGTCCCCGGTTTTAACCCGTGACTTTTCTTCTACACTCTAAAAAGTGCATGTAAAACTACTACTGAAAAGTTTATTTTTCAACCAGAACCTGTGTAAATATACGCACAAGATGTTCAAGATTTGTTTTTGAACATGAGGTGTTTAAAAAATACACAAAAATATACCCATGAAATGTTTAAAATTGTAAAAAATTTTGAAGTAAAAATATATTTTTTACTAATAATAAACATTAAGTGCTCATATTTACTCAATTTTAAACACTTTGTATGTAATTTTTCTCTACGTGACAAATTTTACATGTAAAAGTAAACATACAGTGTTTAATTTTGCACACATTAGGAGACGAAACTAGTTACCTCTCTTTATATGCGTAAATTTAAACAAACATTTTTTAGAGCAAATTTTAAACATTTTATGTGTAAACTGTGAAAATGTGAACAATAAATGTTTAGAACTCAACAAACAAATTTGAAATTTGTTCTACGCCACACATATGATAAGTAAAAGTAAACAAGCAGTGTTTAATTTAATTAACACGGTGTGTAAATTTGCATTCATTTAGAGAGGAAACTGGTTACCTATCTTAATATGCGCAAATTTAAACAAAATTTTTTTAGAGTGTATAAGAAGTCTATATTCGTTGATATAGCTGTATAGCTATATAGCTAGGTATATACCAAAAGTATATATTTCATTAAAAATACTATTTGCAACAAAAATATAAGTACTTACTCTGTACTTGAAGATGAAGATGCCTGCTTTTTGGGATCATATCCTCGTTGTTTAGGCGGTAATGCTGTAAAACGGTTATGGCACTGGCTGTGGTATCTTTGAAAATTGTTCGGCTGTTCCGGCAACACAACGTTGGAGAAAGTCAAATCACCGTCTTTCCGAATTTTTAATATCGATAAACACTTATTTAATTTGGCCGCATCAAAAAGATGTAATTTTCCGCTTTTTTTGGAGCAATATACACAAAAGGGATGTACGTTAGACATTGTGGCAGCTCCGATTTGAACAAGTTCAACGGTCGCACTGGATAGCTTGGCGTCACTCTGGCAAATTCGGAGCAGAGCGGGAGAGACAAAGACAGAGCATCCAAATTTTAGTAGGAGAGGGGATAGAGCCGGTTCACAGCTGTTCATCTGCTCGAATTCTATGCCGAATCTGAGGACGGTGTGGTGGGGAGAAAGGAGCCTTGAAATATTAGATACAATAGACTCACCGCCGTGCGGTCCGCTTCTAGAAGTTTCGGTCGCTTGGGCTATAATATTCGGTAAAACTGCCATATTCAATCTTGGCTCAGTATTATGCAAAGTGGCTTTCTATATATTTACTATTGGCACTCTTATGTCCGCATATTTACTTTTTATGTTATGTATACATATTTAAATGTGTAAATATTTACTTTAAATTCAAAAAACAGGTGAGTGAGTATAATAACTGTATGGACGGCACGCTGTGTTTAATGAGAAAAGTATAGATATCTGATACCGCAAGAGCTGAAATTTGGTAATACAATAGTTGACTAAATAAGTTAAACGAAAATAATATCCAGCTTTATATTTAGTGAGGGAAAAGTGTCCAGCCGATGCA